AAAGTAAAGGCTTTAAAACCAAGTTAGTACAAACGTCACTAATGTCACATAACTTTGCCGACATGTGGCCAACAGTCATGTTTTAATGTTCTTCGTTATTAAACAACATAAATAAGTGACGTCATATTCAGTACTTACTTTTGACAGTTCACTCTTCGGCCGCTCCCTTCTGCCGTATTTTGCAGCAAAATTATCCACACCCACCGCTCTGTCTCCCCTGTCAGCTGCATCCCCTTGTCTAGTTCTGTGTATCCTTAGTTCCTATATCCCCGTGTCCAGTCAGTGTCTGCCCTGGTCCCACATCTCCATTCCCTCTGTTGCAGTGCGTGTGAGTCTGTGTCTTTAGTTCAGTCTGTGTCATGTTTCCTGTTTTATTTTGAAAGTCCTTGTCTGATGTTATGTATCTGGTTTCGCTTCCTCTTGTCTCGTTAGGCCTGATTTGCCCAGCTGTGTTTCCCTCCTGTTACCCATTCCCTGATTGCTCCCTCTGTGTATTTAAGCCCTGTGTTTCTCTGTGTCTGTGTTGCGATCTACCGTTTACCAGCTGTGTGTGCTGTCAGTCTGCTGGTGGTAGTTTATTTTGATTTTTCCCATTATGTTATGTTTGAGTTCAGCATTAAAGCTGTTTCAGTTTACGTTTGTCTCTGGAGTCTGCACCTTGGGTCCTATTCCTGTCTGCACACAGCCGTCACATAACAGCTTCAGCTCCTGTGCAGAGCTGAATATTAAATATGTGCAAACAACAACATGTTTTCAGTCTCTTGCAACATCTGTAAAGAGAGCAACATCTTTTTTAAAAGCATGTACTTCAGTAACTCCTCGTTAATCAGGAACTATGGATTAAAGTACTGTAGTGTACTTTAATCCACTGAAAAAATGCAAGAGAAGAACTTCAGATCCTGAGTGTGTGAGGACAATTTTGAGGGATCAATATGGACTCTATTATTAAATGAAAAGAACAAATTAGACTACACTACTGAAACGTTCTGCTGCTGTTTTTAAAGTCTCCATGTTACCAGGCTGTAGAGGGCTCTGCAGATTTAAACAGTTTTAGATCCATTACACTCACAGTCTTATGTTAAAATCTCAAAGGACAGCATTATATTGTTGATATTAACAGTAACTCTGGGCCTCTGTAGAGTGTGCAGCTGATCTCATCGCTGTCTAAAAATGGATAAAAAAACATAAGGAGTCCTGAATCCTTCTGAATCCTTCAATAACACGGACTATTAGAGTAACAGGTGTGTAGCATCGCTAACTAGCTAGCAACTAGCCTCCAACACAGTGCGCATGCTAGCAGCTAATCTAGCAAACGAATTAACAACAGAGTGATTTTAGAACTATAAGATGATAAGCTGTGTGTCATTTTAAAACAGTGATGTGGTTTAAACAAGTCGTCAGTCGCCGGTAAACCAGCAAAAAAACTCGAGCAGCTGGGCTACGTAAAAAGTGAGCGACCCAGGACCCTGAGCATTTATGAAGTATATGTGCTATATGTGATACTGTGCTACTGTTCTGTGTCCACATTTGTATGTTGCTCCCCCCACAGCATTACCTGTGGTCAGCCTGCAGTCCACAGCCACCCACTGTCTCCACACTGCACCGTAGCCTCCTGTAAAAGTCCTGACACGCTCCCCCGCCTGTCACTTTCACTCATGACCAGGTTCAGAGACAGATGAGGAGACTCCACTCAGGCAAGTCTGCTGGACCAGACAGTGGGAGTCCCGTGTCCTCGAGGCCTGCTCCCCCAGCTTTGTGGAGTCTTTCATAAACTGCTCATGTTGAGTCTGAGTCTACAGAGGGTCCCATTGCTGTGGAAGACATCATGCCTCGTTCCTGTACAAAAGACGCCACGTCCCATTGGCCCCAGGATTACAGACCTGCCATCTTCAGAAGTTTTCTGATGACTCTGCGGTGGTTGGGTGGATCGGTGAGGGTGATGAGTCAGAGTAGCGGGCTGTGGTTAACTCCTTTGTCACGTGGTGCGAGAGAATTATTTGCAGCTCAACGTACTTTAGGAGGACCAGGAAACCTGTGACCCCTGTTTCAATCGAGGGGGTCGATGTGGACTATAAATACCTCGGAGTACACAACGATAATAAACTGCACTGGGTTAAAAACACCGCTGCACTCTTTAGATGAAAGAAAAAGGAACAAGAAGTTGATTTTACATGTGAATCAGAAAATCAGAGGGATGCTCTGGTGGGTAAACATTCATTATCACAAACTCTGATGTCAAACTTCCTTTGACAATAACACAACGGCCATTATTCTCTTTTATACAGTCAGCCACGGCGAGGGAGAGGTTCCACCTTATTAATATTACTACAGCCCTGCTGCCTCTGCTGAATGATGGGAAATAAACGTATCCACAAAAAGTGTCCCAACAGTGTAACTGACTTCATCATCATCATCATCATCATCATGGTTTATTTATATAGCACTTTAAAAACACACAAGGCCGACCAAAGTGCTGAACAATAGAAACATAATAGATACCATAAGAATAATAAATATGATAAAATAATAAACATAGCGAAAACAATAAAATACAAGTCAGTCAACCACTGAATCAAAAGCCAGCGAGTAAAAATGTGTTTTCAATCTGGATTTAAAAACCATCACTGATGTCGATCGCCTAATGTGAAGAGGAAGATTATTGCAAAGCTCAGGAGCCACGATAGAGAACGCTCGGTCTTCTCAGTTTCAACCGTGATTTGGGGACTGAGACTTGATGCTGAACTCTAATTAAGAAGTGCTCCTTTCATGCTCCTTTCTGTGTATTGTTTCATACAAAGTTAAAATGATTCCTAAATCAGGGGAGGAGGCCCCGGGGCAGACCCAGGACACGCTGGAAAGATTGTCTCTCGGCTGGCCTGGGAACACCTTGGTGGTCTCATGGACAAGCTGGAGGAGGTGGCTGGGGAGAAAGTCTGGGTTTCTCTGCTGAGGCTGCTGCCCCCGCGACCCGGCCCTGGGTAAGCGGAAGAAGATGGATGGATGATTCCTAAATCTGTGGATAACCAATCAAACTGTGCTCTCATCACATCATTATGTGATCTGAGGATGATGAAGTTCCTCTGATGAAGCACAGACAGCTGATACAAACACTCTGTTTAACCTGTTGCTTCGGTTCTTTGGAGGTTTGTAAAGAACCTGAGAGGAGTTCTCATGTTCAGACACGTCTTTATGATGAACTCCAGGATGATGTCAGAGGGGGTGGCGGCTGAGGAGCAGGACTCCTCCCACACATGCTACAGAGTGCAGCACTGAGACTGACCTGCAGATGGCGCCACACTGACACAAATCAGCAGCCTGAGCTCCACAGCCTGAACCCACAGAGACCCCCACCCACAGCAGCACAGAGCAGTGACCGCCCCGGAGGAAGAGGAGGAGTCCCGGTGCTGAATGAGCGGATTATTCAGGTGAAGCTGCTGCAGAGGAACACAAGCTCCTCAGTCTGGTTCGTTTTCCAGGAGTCGCAGAGGAGAACCATCAGAGGAGGAGAACCATCAGAGGAGGAGAACCATCAGAGAAGGAGAACCATCAGAGGAACATCAGAGCTGTGAGTTCACTGCTTCACAGAATCAAACAACAGCAGCTCCACATTAATCCTGCAGTAATAATCATTTTACCCTCTGATGTAAGAAATACTTCATCATAGTCACAGACTTTTATACTTTGCAGTGCTGTGTTACTGCTGTGGTGTCACTACAGCACTGAGTCCTACAGAATGAAGCCAGCTTGATGCGACTGTAAGGACCGCTCAAACCTTTCAGACCTCATGCTGCAGGTTTTTAATGTTAATGAATATCAGAGTGTCAATAACAGAAGGTTATCAAATCAGAGTGGAGCCTGCGTCTGTCTGAACCTCGAGCAGAGAACAAGCACAAAATCAAATCTGAGAGAAAATCCAGTAAAGACGCTGAAGCCTCTTCAGGCAAGGAGCTGCCAGCAGCTCGGGTCAGCAGGTGTTGCTCCTCCACCTGTAGATGTTCCTCAGCACTGGTGGAGGTTTCCTTCACACAATCAAAACTGAACACGACATCTAAAATCATCAGTTAATCCTCACCATCAAACTCGGACGTCTTTTTAAAGCTCCATGAAGGATTTCAGACTCAGTCACTGTGAGACTTCCTGCATTTAAGGGCAGAGTATTTAAATCCCAGGCACAGATCCATGTCTGCATGTTGTCAGGACGTAGTTGGGATTTTTTCAGGACGTTGTTCGGATGTTGTTGGGACGTAGTTGGGATGTTGTTGAGATGTTGTTGGGACGTAGTTGGGATGTTGTTGGGATGTTGTTGGGACGTAGTTGGGATTTTGTCAGGACGTTGTTCGGATGTTGTTGGGACGTTGTTGGGACGTAGTTGGGATGTTGTTGGGATATTGTCAGGACGTTGTTGGGATGTTGTTGGGACGTAGTTGGGATTTTGTCAGGACGTTGTTCGGATGTCGTTGGGACGTTCTTGGGATGTTGATGTATGTCTGGTGTTTGCTTGATGTTTCTCTGTGTCTCAGTGGAGATGCAGTGCTGATGCTGCTGCACAGTGTGTGATATTACAGTGTGAATGTGGGAAACAGAAGCTCGGCCTGCTGCTGCTTAGTTGTAGAGGATGTTTGTGAAACGGTCGACTGACGTGAAGGAATCTCCTCTGATTAAACAGCCGACCTCAGACCGACCGGAGTTTGCTGGGAAGTTTCAGAGCACCGTGAACTCACCTGCAGCTCTGATTTCACAGCCTGATGCCTGATCTGATCTCTTCTTATCTTCTGCTGCTTCCTGTCTCAGGCTGGCGTCTCATCGTGTCTGAGCCTCACTCATCTCGTTCCTCACATTAAATGCAAACTGACTTTAAATATGACCGATGGTAGCAGCTGTCTTCCTGCAGCAGGTCTGGGATGAGTGCTAACTCTCTGACTGTTCATAAAGGTTTTCACTGAGAGAAGAAGTCTGCGTGATCGCAGTGAGCAGCTGATTCCTGTCTCTGAGTGCAGGCTGGCTGTAAACGCTGCAGCTCACCTGTCTGTTCAAACACACGTTCATCACCACAAATGCTTTCAGGCTACACAGAAACAGCAAAATCAAAGTTTCACATGAACACACACACGTACAGTGAGAAAAGACTTGAAGCTTATTTACAGACCACTCCGGGAAATGTTTGGATTTGAATTGATGAGGTCATGGTGGGGTGGGCGGGGTCAGACTGTGAAAACATTTCTACTTGGTGGAAATATCTGCCGTTTGGATCATGTTCTCCATATTTAGTGAAATATTTGCAGGCTTTGTGTAAAACAAGCTGCTCACAGGTAGTGAGGGCTGACCTGCTGACAGAATCACAGAGCTGGTATTGAGCTGCGAGGTCTCAGGACTTCCTCCTCACAGCTCTGCTCTGTTAGTAGAGCTGATGTTGCATCAGGTCATGTGACCCAGCAGCCGAGTGCAGCTGTTGAAAGTCAGAGTTTGAACTTTGAACTTTAGAAAGTGAGTTAGCAGCTCCGACTGAGGGGAGGCTTCTGTGTTATTTGGCTGCGTTGGTTCAGCATGACAAACAGGAAACAGTTTTTCCTCCTGATAATGAACTCTGCTAATGACAAGCACAGATGGGCGAGTGAGCTCCGCTCAGTCTTTCTCTCTCTGCCACTCAGGGTGGAGCTGAGCTGCTGACTGCAAACATTCATGTGTCGCTGCTCTGTTATCTCTGTCATCTCTGTTATCTCTGTTATCTCTGTCATCTCTGTTATCTCTGTTATCTCTGTTATCTCCGTGTTATTGATCTTCTGTCAGCTTCTCTTTGTTTTCCTGCTGTTTGTGTCGCTCCACCGACGTGACACCATCTGTGAGAAAAGCTTCACTCAGGCTCTCTGTGACCTTCAGAGCTCTCGCAGGCCTTCCTGTTTGAATGCTGTCTTCTTCTTCTGTATCTTTGTTGGCAGTGTTGGTCAAGTTACTTGAAAAAAGTAATCAGTAACTAATTACTGATTACTTCCCCCAAAAAGTAATCCTGTTACTCTACTGATTACTTATTTTCAAAAGTAATTAATTACTTAGTTACTTAGTTACTTTTTAAAAACACGATTTACACCCTGAAGAGGTAATAAAGTGATAGCTCTTTCAGCCCAATTCTACTTTTCTGCATAATCCATCATACAAAATGTAATCAAATGGAAAAGTCTCTTTTTAAAACTTGTTTTATTAGTTTTAATCTTTTAACTTTATGCATCAAGCAAACATTAAATTATCTGCAACATTCTCTGACTGGAAGAAATTAGTTTAACATTTAAACCT